TGTTGTGTTTTTAAAATGTTAAAATCTTTTTCTATTTATTCTGAACCCCCTAAAAAGCGGGGTGGCTTTTTAGGGGCTTGTGCTCAGTTGGTAGAGCAGGTCAGATACTAACCGGAAGGTTGGTGGTTCGAGCCCAGGCTCCTCCTCTCAGTGATGCCGCAGTGTTCGTTTGAGTTTGGGGCCTGAAGCAGAGTTTGGACCCCAAAACAGCTAATGATGTCAGACTTAAAGACCGGATTGAGTTCCACATGGTTCTGTGCTAGGACCAATTCTGTTTACATTATTCAAGCTTTCAGTAGTATCATTTGAAGTCACAGTATAGATTTTCCTCGCTAGCAGATGACACAACATGGTGTCTAACCAGATACTTAGTATCTAAATATGATGGGACGCAGAGTCTTCAGCTTTTAGGCCTTCTTTTCTAAAGTATATAGTTAGTGCTCGTTCTGGTAACTCTAAATCCTTCCTTATCTGGACCTAGACTGCTGCAGGCTTCCTGTGATGCATGGACTGTTTCTTCGTCTTCACTTACCTTTTTCACATGTGTAACTTGCTAACCTAGCCCCGTAGAGTCAGTGTTAAACACCTGGAATGCACAGAGTTGATTGGTTAAGTGGTATCATGTGGTATGGCTTAGCTTCCATCCAACTGGTCTGTGCATTTCTGCAGCCACTGAACCACTATCATAAAGACCAGAATAGCTGAACCAGTTAAAAATAGAAGTGCCCTCCCTGGTGTTAAATGATAAACTTCTGTTTTGGCTGTAGGTCTGGGTCCATATGGGACAGCCTGTGGGTCTGGATCTGGACCTTGGTCCACATAGTGGCCTCTGCTATAGAGGTTACACAGGTAGTCCAACTCCTCCAGGATGGTACATTAATATGTATCATTGACACAAGGTTTTGCTGGTGTCTCCCAGCATAGTCTCAAAGCATGAAGGAGATTGTTACAGAACCGCTCCTTTGTCACAGTAAGAACAGAGTTAACAATTTTTGGAGAGTCTTTGAATTCAGCCCTCTGTAGGTTGAAAATGTTCATTTCCAGTGAACATTGTGGCATCTTTTTGTTCCCAACAGATCGCATATTACATATTATTATAGCTATATGGCACATTTTTTTTCTTATCAAGCTCTAATATGTTTTCCAAGTTCCTTTAATTATGTGTTTGGGATATGATGCTGAAAAATGAAGACCTCTTGCCACTCATTTTCACTCCAGTTCTTGTGTAATGTTTCCCCTTCTTAAGAATGGCTTCCTG